GTCCACTGCTGCGTCTGCTCTAGTTGCTGAGCTCGTCGACTTTGCTGCTCGCTGTCGCCTCGACTACGCTGCTAGTCTTGTTGCTGAGTCTGCGTCTGTCTGTCCTCCGTCCGTCGGGGGTGAGTGTGCTCTTGGCACGGACGTCCTAGAGGACAGGCAGGAGGAGTTACAGTGTCTAGCGGCTGCTTCACCTCATCTCGCGTCTGTACTGCTTGCCCCTGAGGGAGACCCGGATGCACTAGACATCCCGACTCCGCGTTCTTACGCGGAGGCCGTAGAGGGTCCCTACTCCTCTCAGTGGCAGGCAGCTATGGATGCAGAGATGGCTTCCTGGAAGTCCACAGGCACCTACGTTGACGCGGTTCCCCCTTCTGGGGCGAACATCGTCAGTGGCATGTGGATCCTCAGGGTGAAGCGGCCGCCGGGCTCTCCACCTGTCTTCAAGGCACGGTACGTCGCTCGTGGCTTCAGTCAGCGGCAGGGAGTTGACTTCTTTCAGACCTTCTCTCCCACCCCGAAGATGACTACTCTTCGGGTGCTGCTGCACATAGCCGCTCAGCGCGACTACGAGCTTCACTCTCTCGACTTCAGCACTGCGTTCTTGCAGGGTAGCCTGCACGAGGAGATCTGGCTTCGCCGTCCACCTGGCTTCACTGGGACTTTCCCTCCTGGCACCCAGTGGAGCCTCCGACGGCCAGTCTACAGTCTCCGCCAGGCACCGCGTGAGTGGCACGACACACTGAGGACTACGCTTGCGGCCCTTGGGTTTGCTCCTTCTACTGCTGACCCGTCGCTGTTTCTTCGCACCGACACTTCCCTGCCGCCGTTCTACATCCTCGTGTACGTCGACGACTTGGTCTTTGCCACAGCGGACACTGCTGGACTCGCCTACGTGAAGTCCGAGCTGCTGAAGAGACACACGTGCACAGACCTAGGTGAACTGCGCAGCTACCTTGGCTTGCAGATCACTCGGGACAGAGCACGCCGCACCATTACCTTGACTCAGTCACACATGGTGCAGCAGGTCCTTCAGCGCTTCGGCTTCACGTACTCCTCGCCTCAGGCCACTCCTCTGCCTACTCGCCACTCACTCTCAGCTCTGCCTTCGGATGAGTCCGTAGAGTCGAGTGGTCCGTATGCAGAGCTTGTTGGCTGCCTCATGTACCTGATGACCTGCACACGACCTGACCTTGCATACCCTCTGAGCATTCTTGCACGCTATGTTGCTCCTGGGAGACACAGACCAGAGCACATGGCTGCAGCTAAGAGGGTATTGCGCTACCTGTGCAGTACGTCGGGCATGGGGCTAGTGCTTGGAGGGCGGAGTCCAGTGGTCCTTACCGGCCACGCGGACGCTTCTTGGGCTGACGACCAGGCTACGCAGCGGTCGTCACAGGGTTACACCTTCAGCCTTGGTTCCGGGTCTGTCTCGTGGCGGTCTACTCGCTCGTCTTCGGTTCTCGGCTCCAGTTGTGAGGCTGAGATCTACGCCGGGGCCATGGCTGCACAGGAGCTTCGCTGGCTCACCTACCTGCTGACTGACCTTGGAGAGCCGCCTCGTTCTCCTCCAGTGCTGTACGTAGACAACAAGGCCATGCTGGCCTTGTGTCGAGAGCAGCGCTTGGAGCACAGAACGAAGCACATTGCTCTCCGCTACTTCCTTGCTCGTGAGCTGCAGCAGCGTGGTCAGTTGCGACTTGCGTACGTGGCCTCTGAGGCCAACACTGCTGATGTGTTCACCAAGGCACTCGCGCCTTGTGACCATCAGCGCTTTTGCACCCAGCTGGGTCTTGTGCCTGTCTTGCCTCACTTGCTCTCCTCTTGACTTTACTTGTACTGTGACATATATATACCTGCTCTTGCTTGTCTAGTTTTATATATATATGTCTGTACTCCTGCATGTGAACTGGCCTCTGGCCCTGCTCTTGTGCTCGGACTGTGTGGTGACTTTGTGATCCACCCTGAGCTTGCTCTGCTTTGCTTTACTTGACTGGTCTTGTGACCCCTTGCTCTCCCCCACTTTGCCTATGGGGGTGTGTCAGATTTATATGACATATTTGCTGTAGGCTATAGTGGGGTAGCACATATGGGGTACAGGGTTTCTAGGGTTGTATTTGTACCCAATCTTTCCTTAGTCATTCTCATTCCTGTTCATTCTTTTCACAGGCCTCTACCTTCAGGAGCTGCTTCAAGAGGCGAAAATTGCGACATCCGCAAGTTTCAAACTTCACTGCGACAACCAAAGTGCGATAAAAATCGCGAACAAGCATGGCTTTGTCAACCGCACCAAGCACATCGCGCTCCTCTACTTCTTCGTCAAAGACGAAGTTGACAAAGGCAAAGTCATCTTGACTTACTGCCCCACTGGTGACATGGCAGCCAACTTCCTCACCCAAGAAGCTGCCACGTCAGCAGTATCATCACTGCGGAAACATTTCCGGCATAACCAAGCGCGTCAAGACTTCGCTCCTCCAGGAATGAAGGGGAGTGTTACGATATGGAATAGTTGACTAAACATTCCTGAGTAACAAATCCTTAACGCGAAGATGACTGCAGCGAGGACGAAAGACCAAGCGACGAGACAGTTACAAGCAGAAAGAACTTGAAGTGCATAGCGCGGGAAAAGTTCAAACGGTTGCCGGACCGCATACGGTTACCGGACCGCATGTCAGAATCCCAACCACTAGACCATTGGGATAAAAGGGCTTGTTAAGTAGCGGGTCAGTGCGCCCATAACCCCCCAGGCCAACGTGCCTGTAACCCTTCCCTAGGATCAATCGGGGATCACCAGTGGACCTCAGACACCCCCCCGCACTGGGATGCCCGAAGTGCATACACCGGGATTCGAACCCGATACCTTCGCTCTGATACCATCTCAGAATCCCAACCACTAGACCATTGGGATAAAAGGGCTTGTTAAGTAGCGGGTCAGTGCGCCCATAACCCCCCAGGCCAACGTGCCTGTAACCCTTCCCTAGGATCAATCGGGGATCACCAGTGGACCTCAGACACCGCACGGTTGCGATGCTGCACCTAGATTAGCCCTAAGGGGAATGTACCCCCTCAGAGTACATGGCTAGCTAGGACATTTTGTATTCCACTGCATTCCTATATAAACCCCTGTACCGCATTGTTATAGTCACTTCTGTCGAGATTCAAATCTCCTTCTACTGACAGAGTCCGTACCCAACATTACATAGCAATCTTCCACTGCTACACTCCGTGCGATCAACCTGAGACGATTCTATAAGACGGTTCAGATTATATCATAACACTCCCATATCAAACGAACCATTTGTTACAAACCCACGAAGCACTTCGCCATATTTGTGTCAAGATTGATCGCATGGTGATATTGCAGTAGAAGTGATTGACTCCTGGTCAGAGTGAATGTGAAATGGATGAAGTGAATATAAGAAGGACATACATAGGTTTATATAAGATTACAAAATAAATACAGAATGACCTAGCTAGGCATGTACACTAAATGGTACATTCCCTTATTACATCGAGATTCAACTGTGTGGCGCGGGAAGCCAATTCAAACGTGCTCCTGCCATTTCCCATTCAAATGCTTCTTCCCGCATCGGTCTTCATCTGGCAACTACTTTCATCGCTTCGGCTTTCCTAACTCCTCATCTTCATCATTGTTATTGCTGGCTCCTGTTACGTACATGAATATTATTCACTCATTCATTATCGCAACACCTTTTTTCTGCCTGTCGAACGCACCTTTTATAAAAAGGGTCGCGAAACACCAAAGGCCCTTCGCGCACATGCAAACGATGAGCCCAGCTCTAAGGGCTGGGTTAGGGCTCGTAGTGGGAGGGGATACCCAAATCCTACTCCCCTAAAAGTTTTCCTCTGAACCCATACGCCTGAATCATCTCTGCCCTGAAAAACGCCTCAGCGTAAAATCAAACGCGTGAGCTGTGTTGGTTCTTTTTTTTTTTTTTTTTTTTTTACAAACTTTTTTTACCCTGTATCCTATAGCATGCGATGCAATTTTTTTAACCTTACCCTCGATGAAGATGGTGGAAGAAGGGTCCCCGCTCGCCCTGACGACCCTCAACCTTCCGTCCTCTAGAGGCGACACTTCCGATTTGGTTGGTCGGGCAATGGCCAGCCCAGGGGAAGTTGCGTAGAAAACTCTGCTGAAACTAGCACCTGCCTAACGAACAGGGCCCCATGATTCCGTCTGGCTCGGACCGGATCATTTGGTTCGGCACCAATTTTTGGTCTGACTGCTAAAACCAGATTTAGGGCGTGTCACCTCGCTGTTCGAACAACACTCTCGTTCGAACAGGCGAAATATAACATATGTCGTCACGCTTCGCATAGGCTTTTACGACGTCGCATGACGGAATTGTCGCCCATCCGACAACGCTGTCACATCGGGCGGATAGCGATTCACGTTGCACGTTCGAACAGAGTTGTTCGAACGCCCAGACCTAGGTGACAGAGATTCCGCAGGGACGAGGTATTTGATTGGTCAGCCGGACGCCGCGTCGTCCACGAATGAGTTTTTAGATTGCGAGTGTCGCATTGAATGCGAAAAACTTATTGGACTGTTTGTAGAGGCTGACGAACCCACAAACGTTGGATTCGTCGCCTCGCGCCATCGCCTGATTTTGGGCGACGTCGCATGTTCGAACAAGGCGCTTGTTCGAACAAGGGGGGCGTCACCTGGAGAATACGCTGTCACATTTGAAATTCTGTTCGAATTTGTTTTCGGAACGTCACGGGACAGTGTTCGAACAGTGAAAACGGTACGCATGTTCGAATTTGGGGTCTCGAGCCCAGAGGTGACACGCCCTTAAACCGCCGAGACGGTTCGGATGGATTGGTCTGCCTTTTGAACGGGGGTCGAAAGCCTCTTCTGCTGTGGTGGTCCTTGTATTTCCCTGGCGGGGCTGCTGCAAAGCGCAACCTTGAAACTCGCAGCTCGCGACGAAAAACCTACCCCCTTGTGACTTGGCGGGAGCGAGTGCCAGAACCTCATGTTCGGAGTGCGCGGTACGAATCCAGCAGCGGCCTTAGGCCTTTTTCCCCAACCCCTCGCCGCGCTGCCCGCGCGTGTTCTGGCGCCAATGGACTCGTCGCGCGGCGACATGCTCGCACAGCTGCGACACGTGGCTGCTGTCGAGGCGAGACGGGCGGCAGAACAGGTGAGGAGCTGTTATCGGCGCGCGCCTCTGTTTGCCACACGCGTGTTACTGTACTGACGTGGCACGTGCTGAACACACGGTGCGCAGGTGATTCTTCCCAGAGACTTCACCCTGACCATTCCGCATCCAGACAACTGTTTCCGCCCGTCCCCAATCGACAGCGCCACCCCGTTATCGTCACAACACCCCGTTAAAATCACCATTCGGTTGTTGTCCTTTGGCTACGTGGACACCCGCCCTGCATACCACTCGGCCAGTGAGATTTGGCCACGTGGGTACCATGCAGTGTGGGAGGACCCTTTAGGAGGGCTGTGCCACAGCGAGGTGGTGGAGGGGGGCAGCGACGGCCAGGGGCGAGCGCGGGTTGGGGGGGTTGGGCAGGAGGGCGGTAGTGAGGGGCCGGTGTTCCGAGTTTGGAGGGAGGATGCACGGGAGGAAGGCAGGCAGGCGGGATGGGCGATGGACGGGCAGCAGAGAGCAGTGGGTGGGGGAGAGAGAGAGGGTGAGAGTGAGGGAGCGGAGGGCACAATGGGGGAGGAAGTGCAGGCGCTGCTGTGGGATGGACGGGGCCCTGCGGGCGTGGGGGGGTGGCGGCCAGGGGGTGATTCCTGGGCGGAGGGAGCGCATGGGCGGGAGGTGGATGGGGGGGAAGGGGACGGGGTGATTGGTGGGGAGAGTGTGAGGGGGGTGGAGATGGAGAGAGGAGGGTCGAGCAACGACACACGCTCACAGCTGCTTGGGGGTCCCAGGCCTGAATGCAAGGTTCGGATGGTGTGTGAAGGGCAAACGAGTCAGCAGGCTTGGGAGAGGTTCGGAGGGGAGTGGTGGGAGCAGCTGGGTGCGACATGGATGGGGAGGGCTGGGCAGGGCACGGCGGAGACGAGGGGGGAGAGTGGAGGGACGAGTGGAAGGCAGGCAGGAGGGGAGGCTGAAGATGGAAAGAGTGGGTCTGGTTTGGGCGTGGCGGGTGAGGGGGGCGTGGGGGGCGTACAAGAAAGAGGGCAAGTGGAGGGAGTGGGAGCAAAGTATGCGGGGTGGGAGGAGCAGCGGGTGCGCTCGCTGCTGCTGCTGGACAAGTACGGGCTCTCCCACCCACCCCTGCTCGCCCTCATAGAGGGGCAGAGCGGTGCAGAGCGGTGCACAGGGTACGAGTTCAGGGAGGAGCGGTGGTGGAAGGAGCAGGCGCAGAGGGAGCAGGAGAGGCAGGCGAGGGGGGGCCGTGGGCAGCAGGACGAGCAGCACGAGGGGGAGGGGCAAGGGAGGGCGGGACAAGTGAGGGAGGGGCAAGAGGAGCAGGGGCAAGAGGGGGGGGAGATAAAGGAGGGGTTGGGGATGGCAAGCGGAGGGTTGGTGGGTGAGATTCAGGCTGGGGCGAGTGAAGGGCGCGAGGGGGGCGAACGGGGGGGTGCAGGGAGGGGTGGTGGGGTTCATGGGGCGGAGAGGTTGGGCAGGTGGGAGGGGGCGGATGGGAGGAGAGGGGGAGCGGCGGTGGGAAAGGGTGTTGATGAGGCGCCGTCAGCAGTGCCCCCTACAGCACTGCTGGGGCTCTCCCGCTGCGACATGCTGCGCCTCATTGAGGTGCGCCCTGCCCCTCACTGCGCCTCATTGAGGTGCGCCCTGCCCCTCACTGCGCCTCATTGAGGTGCGCCCTGCCCCTCACTGCGCCTCATTGAGGTGCGCCCTGCCCCTCACTGCGCCTCATTGAGGTGCGCCCTGCCCCTGACTGCGCCTCATTGAGGTGCGCCCTGCCCCTCACTGCGCCTCATTGAGGTGCGCCCTGCCCCTCACTGCGCCTCATTGAGGTGCGCCCTGCCCCTCACTGCGCCTCATTGAGGTGCGCCCTGCCCCTCACTGCGCCTCATTGAGGTGCGCCCTGCCCCTCACTGCTGCCCTCTCGTCTCTGCTGCCTCTCTTCTGACTTTCATGCACAAGGACTGACTTCGCCCTCTGCCCATGCACCCCTCGCCATCGCCTCGCCCTACCGCCTGCCCGCCCACCCCTGCAGGTGCACCACGCGCTGCACTCCTTCCTGCCCTGCCTTCCGCCGCCCTCCCCCCACTCCCCCCTCCTGCCCGCGCTCTCCCTCCCTGCCCTCGCCCACCACCTCGCCTACCCCTCCACCAATCCGCCGGCGTCAGCTGGTGCAGCGAGGGGCGGCGGCGCCGTGAGTGGTGGCTCGCATGGCGCGGGGCCCGTGGTGGCGCGCATGCACGTGGCGCTGTTGCACGTGCTGCTGCCCGCCGCCATGCCTGCTGTTGCTGCACGCGAGGTGATTGGCGGGCGGGAGAGGGATGGAAGAGGGAAGGAGAGGGAAACTGCCGAAACTGAAGTGAGAGTTGGTGTTGTGAGTGGTGGTCATGGTGCTACCTCTGCTGCTGCTGCTGCTGCATTGGGTTCTCCTGCTTCCCTCACAGGCGAGCAAACGGGCTTGAGTGCTGCTGCTGTGAACGATGCCAGCTCCGACCTGCTGATGTGTCCCATTGATGAGCTGACGTGGCCTGAGGTGGCATGCAGGGTGCTTGCCGTCAGCATTCCATTGCTGCAAGAAGAAAGGAAGGAGCGGAGGGCGCGTGGAGGGGATGAAAGAGACGGGAGGAGAGGGGCGAGGGGAGGGGGAAGGCGAAGGAGGGGGGCAAGCAAAAGGGGCGAAGCGGATGGGGAGGAGCAGGTCGCCCGAGGCAGCAGGGAGGATGGCAGGCAAGGGGTGCGGGGAGCGGGGGGGCAGGGAGGGGTGTGCGGGCGCAGCCCGTGGGAGCAGGGGCGGCTGACGCGGTGCATCGCTGGCGATGGCGGGCCGCTGCTGGGCCACTGGCTCGGCACCCCTGGTGCCATGCACGACGCTGCTGTGAGTGCGCTCCACTGTGTCAGTGCTTTTTTTAAAATAGAAGCAGGGTGGCTTGTCAGGTCAGGTGTAAGCAGGTGAACACCTTTTGTTGCATGTTGTAATAGAGGAGATGTATGGTCATTCGATTCGGTCGCTCACTCACACCACACCATCGACACTGCCATAGCATGTTTGCCAACCGCCTTGTATCGTTGTAGATTGATTGACCAACATAACTCAAATTCCCGAATATGACTGTGTATGTGCCCGTGTGGCGCGTGGCAGGCTCTTGCGGCAGCGGAGAGGCAGCTTGCGCTGGTGGCCGCCTCCCAGCTGCATGCCACCGCCGCCACCACGGCTGCCGCTGCTGCTGCTGCGCCTGCAGGCATGGCCACAGGAGGGCTGGGCAGTGCCGCAGGCAAGGGCAAGGCGGGCAGGGGGGCTGCTGCAGCAGCGTCAGGGTCAGCAGGTGAAGAGCAGGGAGGGAAGGACGCAGCATCAGTGGCGGCAGACGAGAGGGTCAGCAGTGCGAGCCATGCTGCTGCGAGTGCCCCTGTGCCCCAGGCGGCGGGGGTGAAGGAGGAAGCGAGCAGTGAAGGTGTGAGTGCTGCTCTCAGTGATGCTGCTGGGGGACTCCCTGCTGCCGCAACTGCTGTGGCGCCTGGCCTGGGGGCACGCAGTGCGGCAGTGGCAGCAGCTGGTGAGACATGGCTGTGCTGCGGTGCGGTGCGGGCGGGCATGGGTGCTGTGGATACTGCTGTGCGTGGGGTGTGTGCATGGGGATGGATGCATGGAATTGTTAATGTGTTGCCTGCTGGGCGCCCATCTCTTCACTGACTCCTCACTGCTGCCTCTCTCACCCTAACCATGCTTCTGCTGGCTTGCTCCATGCCATGTGCCCCATGTGCCCCATGTGCCCCATGTGCCCCATGTGCCCCATGTGCCTCATGTGCCCCATGTGCCCCATGTGCCCCATGTGCCTCATGTGCCCCATGTGCCCCATGTGCCCCATGTGCCCCATGTGCCCCATGTGCCCCATGTGCCCCATGTGCCTCATGTGCCCCATGTGCCCCATGTGCCCCATGTGCCCCATGTGCCCCATGTGCCCCATGCACGCATCCCGGGCAGGTCGTGCATCGCCCCCCCAGTGGGTGGTGCTGCTGGAGCCCATCCGCAAGATGCAGACCAACGTCGGCGCGCGCATCCGCAACTGCATCCGCGCCGCCCTCGACTGCCACGTGGCGCCGCCCGATTGGGCGTTGGAGCGGCTGCAGTGGGCGATCAGCAAGGAGGTGTACAAGGGGAACGCGTCAGGCCCCACTAAGGTGAGTTAAAGCCCGCTAAGGTGAGTTAAAGCCCACTAAGATGAGTTAAAGCCCACTAAGGTGAGTTAAAGCCCACTAAGATGAGTTAAAGCCCACTAAGGTAGCCCACTAAGGTGAGTTAACGCCCACTAAGGTGGTCACTGTGAATCACACATTTCAGTGTGCTTTTGATCTCTATCCGTCTTCACATTTATTCATGTTTTGCCATTTGGTCCGGCATTTCTCGTCTCCTGCATCCACGTCTCTTGTGTTTGCTCCCAATCCCATCCCCTCCATCCCCCGTATGCCCCCTCTATGGCACCCATCGCCCCCGTCCCATGCACCGTGTGGACGCAGCGAGCGGCCATCGAGGTGATGGACAAGTTCCTCGCCCACCACCCCTGCGCTGCCGCTGCTTCTCCCTCTCCCTCTGCACGTGCCGCTGCTGCTGGATGGAGTGGCGCCAAGGTGGAGACGGATGCGGGTGGAGCGGCGAGGGGCGAGGGTGCTGCTGCCAGCAAGGGCACGGCGAGAGAGAAGGATGCTGGGACGGCTGTGGGGAGCGGTGGGGCAGAGAGTGGCAGTGATGGGGGCACCGGAGCACATGGCAAGTGGCAGAAAGGCGGGGGAGCAGGCGGGAGTGAGCCCTGTGCTGGGGATGCCGCCGCTGCTGCAGCATTAGCACCAGACTCGGGGGCAGGCACCTCAGCAGAAGTGGCAGGGCGCAGCGGCCTGGCGGGGGGAGCAGCAGCGGCGGCAGCGGGGCCTTTGCTGTCCCCGCTGATGCAGCAGTGCCGCGCGGTGCTGTGGCAGCTGGCCCTGGCGGACCACCTGCGCGCCTTCACCTACTTCTGGGGCGTGGGGCCTGTGGGACCCGTGGGGGAGGGCGGGCACGATGCCGCACAGGATGCAGGAGGGGCATGGGCAGGGGGGCCAGGGGGGGCAGCGGAGGGCAGAGGGAGAGTGGGCAGCAGTGCAGGGCACGTGGGCAGCGAGGCGGGGGCTGGGAAGGGCGTGAGAGGGGTGGTGGGGAAGGGGTTGGCAGCGGCACTGCACGAGCAGGGGGGGGTGCGGGTGGCGCTCACAGGGGCGGCGAGCATGAGAGGGAGCGACGGCACATCAGGGGCGGCCCTGGCAGCGGCGACAGTGGGGGGTGCGGTGGGGGGGGAAGCGCGGAGGGCGGGGTGGGCGCCGCGGCATGCAGTGGCGCGGCCCATTGACCTGCGCACCATCGATGCACGCGTTGTCATGGGCGCCTATGGCCACTCCGCTGAGGGCTTCATTGCTGACGTCAAACAGGTGAGGCCTTTATTGCTGACGTCACACAGGTGCTTCATTGCTGACGTCAAACAGGTGCGCGTGCCGTGCCGGGCAGATTGCGTGGCATAGTGATGCTGCTGATGGTCAATCAGGTTGAGAGGGGGTTGGCCAAATTATTTTGCGCATCGATAGTGATGGGACTAATCGCTTCAACTGTAAAGTGTTTCAGTTTGTCAAACTTGGGCTGGCTGGGAGGGTTGAGAAGGTTGGGAGGATTGAGGGGGCTGAGAGGGTGTGTGGTAAGGTCAGCTGTGATTCGACCCTTGCATTCACATCCCTTGCATTCACATCCCTTGCATTCACATCCCTTGCATTCACATCCCTTGCATTCACATCCCTTGCATTCACATCCCTTGCATTCACATCCCTTGCATTCACATCCCTTGCATTCACATCCCTTGCATTCACATCCCTTGCATTCACATCCCTTGCATTCACATCCCTTGCATTCACATCCCTTGCATTCACATCCCTTGCATTCACATCCCTTGCATTCACATCCCTTGCATTCACATCCCTTGCATTCACATCCCTTGCATTCACATCCCTTGCATTCACATCCCTTGCATTCACATCCCTTGCATTCACATCCCTTGCATTCACATCCCTTGCATTCACATCCCTTGCATTCACATCCCTTGCATTCACATCCCTTGCATTCACATCCCTTGCATTCACATCCCTTGCATTCACATCCCTTGCATTCACATCCCTTGCATTCACATCCCTTGCATTCACATCCCTTGCATTCACATCCCTTGCATTCACATCCCTTGCATTCACATCCCTTGCATTCACATCCCTTGCATTCACATCCCTTGCATTCACATCCCTTGCATTCACATCCCTTGCATTCAAATCCCTTGCATTCACATCCCTTGCATTCACATCCCTTGCATTCACATCCCTTGCATTCACATCCCTTGCATTCACATCCCTTGCATTCACATCCCTTGCATTCACATCCCTTGCATTCACATCCCTTGCATTCACATCCCTTGCATTCACATCCCTTGCATTCACATCCCTTGCATTCACATCCCTTGCATTCACATCCCTTGCATTCAAATCCCTTGCATTCACATCCCTTGCATTCACATCCCTTGCATTCACATCCCTTGCATTCACATCCCTTGCATTCACATCCCTTGCATTCACATCCCTTGCATTCACATCCCTTGCATTCACATCCCTTGCATTCACATCCCTTGCATTCACATCCCTTGCATTCACATCCCTTGCATTCACATCCCTTGCATTCACATCCCTTGTAGATTCTCGTCAGGAGTCACCCTGTTATTTAGTAGAGACAAGTGAAGACGTCACTCTCATGAGTCAAAGTGGCGCGAGTACATTTGAGGAGTTCAAGCTGGCAGGCAAGATGAAATGAGAGCAGAGTTGTTGGCCGAGGGGAAATACACGGAGTCACCATTTCGCTACCATTCCTCTTGGTTCCTCCAAATCCCCTGCGTGCGCTGCGCTGCCATGTCCCCCGCGCCAGATGTGGATGAACGTGCGGGTGGGGTACAGGAAGCCGCACCCCATCTTCCTCTCCATGCTCCACCTCGCGCCGCTCTTCGACAAACTGCTCGCCTCCCAGGTGGGCTGCTCGCCTCCCAGGTGGGCGTCCCCTGTCATATGGGTGGGGCGGGGGGGAGAGGGGGTTGGTGCGATGAGATGCCATGTGGGGTGCTCCCATCCCATCACCTGTTCGTCCATTCCCTTGCCAGCTGTGCTTCGTCTCTTATCACACCACCATATCGCATCGTCACTTGTGTCCCCTGCTTTCTTCTCAACTCTGTTTCTCCCTTCGTCTTTCTTCTTTCCCTTTTAGCGCTAGCCATTCTCTCCTTTAATGCTCCTACAACCCCAATCACTCCGCACCTCTTCACACTCCTCCCCTTGCCGACCTCCCCGGCTCTGCCCGGCACCCAACGCCTCAACGTCTCCCCCTCAGGGCCTGTTCGCCACGGCTCCAATGCTGCCCCCGCGCCTGCCAACGCCCACACCAGACAGGGCCGGGGGAAGGGGGCGGGAGGATGGGGCAGGGGGGGAGGGAGCAGAGGGGGTGCCCCCGTGGGAGAGGGAGGGGTGCTTGGTGTGCGGGGTGGACGTGGACGAGCGCGCCGTGCTGCTGTGCGACGGCTGCGACCGCGAGTTCCACCTCTACTGCCTCCTGCCGCCCCTCGCCCGCGTGCCCCGTGGCCACTGGTACTGCCCGCTGTGCGTGCAGGGGGGCTGGGGGCGGGAGACGAGCTGGGGAGACAGCGAGGAGGAGGAGGAGCAGGAGGAAGGGGGGGGAGAGGAGGACGAGGAGGAAAGAGAGGAAGGAGAAGGAGAGGAGGAGGCAAGGGGCATTGCGGTAGGGGAGGAGGGAGTGGGGAGAGAGGGGGTGTTGGGGTGTGGGGAGGAGGGGGAGTGGGAGGAGAGTGCAATGTATGTGTTGTCGAGGCACCTCAGGAGCTGCGATTACCACCGCATGACCACCAGCCTTGTGAGTGCTGTGGCCTTGTGAGTGCTGTGGCCTTGTGAGTGCTATGGCCTGGTGTGGCGGGTCAAATGTGCGTGTTGCCATGTGGATTGGTGGTTGACTTGGCTGTGCGAAGCGCTGGGGCTTCTCACGTATCGTAGTGTTCCTTCCTACAGTGTGCACGGTACAAAGTGCAAGTGTGTCACGGAGCCTCATGATTTTTATTAAATCTAAGTCTTTTACTTAGCCTGATGTTCAATACCAAGAGTATGTGCGTTTACTTCACTTATGTTTGGCATTAAGTGTTAGGTTTATACTTTTGTTGTAACCTGCATCCATGCTATAAAGTTCTGGTAGAGTAGAGATAAGCACCCAACCATAGGTTGGGTGTATATCTAGGGTTAACCCTAAGTTGGGGTTGAGATCCAACCTTCGACCCAAATTATTGGTCCCCAAAGGTTGGGTTGGGAACATTATTGGTCCCCCTCCAATAATGTTGACCCAACTTAAGAGTGGTCAACATTATTGAAGGCCCTCCGAAAGTTCCCAACCCAACTTATTGGAGGGACTCCAATAATGTTGGCTACCTCCCCCCTTCTCTTCTTCAACTATGTAAACCCTAGCTTCTCTTAGTTCAATCATTTCATTCTCTTCAAACTTTGTTTCCCACAATAAGTATTAGTGCGTTACATTGTGTTATGCTCAGAACTGAAGGTTAGTGAGTTACTTAGCCTTATGTTTGGTACCAAGTATAAGTGCGTTATTTAGCCTTATGTCGGTTGCGTTCTTTTATGAACTCCGAATCGCTTGGAGGTATGATTCTGTCTCACCGGTTCTGTCTGCTTATGGCTTCCTTTGACCGCCTTTGAATCCCGTTGACCGCCTTTGACCCTGTTTGACCGCAGAGGATCTTGCTTCTCCACACCCTCTGTCGCCTGCTGGTCCGCACGCCAGCCTACCAGAGCTTCTGCCACAACCGGCAGCAGCAGCACGGGCATGAGCAGCAGGAGGAGGAGCATGAGGCGCGCGTGTCAGCGGCGTGGTGTGGCCGGGCCATGGCATGGGGCTCCACTCGCCACCGCTCTCCGCGGCCCACACAGCCTTGGCGCCCTCAGGGGCCCCCATGGCAGCAGCAGCTGCTCCTGCTGATGGCTCGTGGGAGGGACTCCCATGCGCATGGCGCGGATGGGGGGCATGCGGATGGGGGTGAGGACGAGGATGGGGATGGAGACGAGAGTGAGAAGAGTGTGGAGGAGGTGCGAGGGAGTGAGAAGAAGAGGGGTGGAAGGACAAAGCGGTTGACAGGGGGCAAGAGAAGTAGGACTCAGAAGCATGCTGTGGACGGGTTTGGAGCGGTGGAGAGGGGTGAGCGGGAAGAGGAAGAAGGCGAGGAGGAGGTGGAGGGAGAGAAGGAGCAGGGCGAGGGAGGGATGGAAGAGGAGGAGGAGGAGGAGGAGGAGGAGGAGGAGGAGGAGGAGGAGGAGGAGGAGGAGGAGGAGGAGGAGGAGGAGGAGGAGGAGGAGGAGGAGGACACAAAGGAAGAGGGCAGGGAGGGGAGTGATGGGGGAAGTGGGGAGCGGCAGGAGGTGGTGGAAGACGGGGGGGCAGGGCGCATGCAGCTGTGGTGCTCCAGTGCCGCGCTGCCCAGGCTGAGAGGCGTGCACGGAGAGAAGCAGGAGGCTGGTGGAGCCGTGGTGTTCGTCGGATCGGATGAGATCGGACGGCTGTTCTTTGTGGTTACCATGAGCAGTGATGGAAGCACAGGTCATGATTTTGCAGCTGGCAACGATGCTGCAGCAGGGGGAGCAGCAGGGGGATTAGCAGCAGGGGGGGCAGCAGCAGCGGTGCTGGTGTGGTGGCCTCGTGGGGCACAGGCCTCCACCCTCACGCAACCCCCCCTCCCCCACCCCCCATCATCTGCCTCACGTGGCCACACCCACCCCCCTGACCGCCTGTGGCCGGCATGCAGGGGGGCGTGCCGCCATGCAGCTTGCTCGCGCCGTGTGGCCCTCGGGGCCGCGCTGCTCGCCTCTGCCACCGCTGCTGCTCGTGGGGGCCTTGGAGCTTGTGAGGGGGCTGGAGGCGAGGGCGAGCAGGGAGAGTGGCGGTGGTATGTGTGGCGGGGTGATGCTGCTCTGAACAGGGGTGGTGCCACGGGGACAGGAAGGGACACGCTTGGTCAAACAATGGTTGCCTCTGCCTCTGCTGCTGCTGACGTGGATGCTCTTCTTTCCTCAATTGCTACAGCAGCAACACCTGGCAGCCAGCTGGCAAGGGTTCACAGCCGGGTGCAGCAGGTGCTACATGAGCAGTGTGGTGGGCGTGTGTCTGAAGCAGCATGTGAGCAGCAGGCAGGCAGGCCCGTGCATGCACAAGAGCCGCCCCCTGCACACCCCGCACATTCCTCCCTCTCCCCCTCATTCGTGCCACCCCTGCACTCGCTCCCACTCCACGCTACTGAACCGCCCACCAAGCTGCCCACTGAGCCAACTTCCGAGCTGCTTACCCAGCCATACACCCCAAGCCTCCGCACCCTGCGAGCTATGGCCTTTCTGGAAGAGCGGTTCGGAGCGGTGGAGATGGATGGTACCGTGGCATGGGGAGGGGAGGGGGACGGGGGGAAGGAGGGAGGCAAAGGAGAGAAGGGGAAGGGCAGAGGAGGGGAGAAAGGGGCGGCACACAAAGGCGCTCTGGGGGCGACAGGTGGCGGTGCAGGGAGGAGGGGCGTGTGGCGGTGTGAGTGCTTGGAGCTGCAGTGGGCTGCCAGGTGGCACTGCGTGATTTGCCACGAGACTTACAGCGCCAAGGCGGAGTTTGAAGGGCACAAGCGGGCGTGCCGGCTGAGGGCTAAGGGGGGTAGGGGCGGCGGTCGGGGTGGGGGGGAGGGGAGGGAAGGGAGGGGACGCGAGGGGGGAGCGAGAGGGAGAGCGGAAGGGAGGGCGGGCAGTGCCTGGGGTGGACGGCAGGGTGCAGATGAGTGGGGATGGGGCGATGGGAGAGGGAGCGAGGGAGGGAGGGCTGTGGCACCAGGGTGTGGGGGAGGAGGAGGAAGATGCAGGGACTGTGTTCGACCCCCTCACCACTGCTGACCTACCACCTGCTGACGTGGCAGCTCGTGCAGCTGCAAGGCATCAGTGTGATGCTGATGCCATCTTTCCACCTGGCACACTCAAGCTGTGCGACGTCATGGCCACTCCACCAGCTGCCACGTCACCAGTTGACTCGTCACCAGCTGCCACGTCAACAGCTGCCACGTCACCAGCTGCCACGTCACCATCCGCAGAAGAAGCAGTAGCCCCAAGTATGGCAGGTGGCGGTTCTGTGGGGCAGGCACTGGTGGGCAGGAGCATGGCGACGCTGGGCGATCGCATGAGGGTGTGGAGCGGTGAACAGGGCGACGAGGCTTGCAGCACAGTGCAGCAGGGGCACGTGGTGGCGCAGAAGAGGCAGCGAGGGGGCGAGAAGGGCGGCGAGGAGGAGCTGCTGAGCGGCTGCCAGCTGCTGGAGAGGCGTGTGGGAAAGCGGCGGAAGAATGGCGAGGGGCGAGGCAGGGGGGAGAGTGGAATGGCGAGAGGAGGGGAGACTATGGAAGGTGGAGAGGGAGCGAGGAGGGGAGAGCACGCAGCAGTGGTGGGAGAAGGCACGGGAGGTGTGGTAGTGGCAGATGGCAGTGGTGCTGCTGCCTCTGCCGCACTGGCTTCGCCTGCACTCATACACTCCGTGGCGGCTGCTGCTTTGCCTGCCTCTGCTGGTGCTCCTGGTTTGAGCGGTTGTGGCACTGCCACTGCCTCTCATGCTGTTGCTGCCATTGCCATGACCATGGGTGGCGATATGGAGAAGGGCGGTGATGCGGGCAGTGCGGGCAGTCAGGGCAGTGAGGGCAGTGGGGGTGCATGGCAGCGGAGTGGCAGCAGTGGCGTGGAGGAGTGGGACGCACTGTGTGGCGGGCTGCCGCCCCTACAGCACCTCCCACAGGACGCCGCGCCTCCACCTGCCACTGCTCATGCACCTGCCACTGCTCCAGTCACTCTTGCTGTGCCGCCTGGCACTGACTTGGATGAGTGGGCTGCAGGCATGGAGGGGACAGGCATGGAGGGGACAGGCATGGAGGGGACAGGCATGGATGGTGTGAGTGTGGATGGCTGGGGCATGCAGAGCAGCACAGCTGGTGTCCTGTCGCGGGATGTGACCTCCCCCGTGCCTCAACCCCCCTCCGCCAGCCCCTGGGACCACGTGCCACTGCCACCCGACGCCACCACCACACCTGACGTCAGCAGCAGCAGCTCCCGCGCCCTCAGCACCTCTCCACCGCACCCAACCGCTCTCCTCATCCGCCACATCTCTTTCAGCCAGCAGCCACCCGCCATCCTCGCGGCCGCCCCGCACCTCCGTTCCCCTCCTACGCCTGCTCCCCTCCCACTGCCCTCCCCGCCCTCGCCTGCCTTGGCTGCTCCAGGTCATCTGGGAGGGGGTATGGGTGGGGCTGGAGGTGTGGCTGTGAGTGATGGCAAGGAGGGGAGCGAGGGCGGGGCGGGGGGCGAGTGGGAAGAGGCGGTGGTGGGGGTGCTGAAGCGCGAGCTGCTGGACGTGGAGGCGGCGGCGGGCGTGGAGGCCATGGACGGCCCGCGAGGGCGGTCGGGCAGGCGCCGTGCATGGCGGGCCATGGTCAAGCGCGCTGATGCCCAGCACTGGCGCCACGTGAGCCACTGCCCCTGCTGCCCCTCTTCTTGTGCTATTCCTCATGCCCCGGCTGTCACTGCTCCCCTGCTGTCCCTACCACTCTTGCTTCCCTTGGTTTATTCCACCTACCCACACATACCATCACTCACTCTTCCCTCATTCACACTTTTTGCATTTCCGATTCTTCAATCCGAATTACTTTCCTCCAGTTTCTTATGCCCCCCAGTCCCTTGCACCACTTCCCACACATCCACCTCATACCGTCCCCCACCCCTCCGCCCCTCGCCTGCCCCAGCTGCTGCACGCCTGCATCCTGCTTGAGCTCGCCATCCGGGCCGACCGCCTCGCCCTCGGCTGGCGCTTCTGGTGCTCCCCGGCTGCCGCCGCCTCCTGCGCCACGCTCTCAGCGCTGGCCCTGCGCGTGCGCGCCCTGGACCGCGCCATAATCTACTTCAAGGGGCCCCTCCGCCCTGCCGCTGCCGCACGCGCCCCGCCCCGCGCCCACGGCGGTGGGGGCGAGGCCAAGGGAGCAGCAGGGGGGGTGGTGGTGGAGAGCAAGAGGGGTGCGGCGGTAGCGGCGGCGGTGGTGGCGGAGGAGGAGGCGGATGTGGTGGAGGTGTCAGCTGCGAGTGGCGAGGGGGAGGGCGGCAGTGGCAGTGTGGAGTTTGACATGTTTGACGAGGAGACGGGCGCCGCGGCGGAGGTTCTTGAGATGCTCAAGGCGCTGGGCTGATGGACTTGCCAGTGGGACTTCGTCTGGGTTGACAGTAGACATGGTGTTACACATCATGTTACACATGGTGTTACACATCATGTTACACATGGTGCTACACATGGTGTTATACATGGCTAGGTTCGCCCCCCCTTTGGGGAAACATGCGGTTTGGCCTTGTTCTGTAGGCGGACTGGCCTCCGCACAAAATGTCCGGGACAGTCTTTCCTAGAAAATTCGTGTCGCATCCAATCAAAATTGTCGCCCTCGATGTTGCTACGAAGCCCCGCATATCCAATGCATTTCCGCAATCCAGCACCCCGCATAACTTGTGCGCTGGCTGATGCTTGCCCTGGAGGTTGAATCAGCCCCGCACTAGTTGTGCGACCGTTTGCGAGGCGAAGCAATTGCTTCGAACCTGCACACGGCTAAATTTGTGCGGGTCAATAGTGGTGTTCTGCAGGCAGAAGCGTCAAATTTGGCGCAAGTAGGTTTGGCATCCACGCGCTTATCACCAAACCTAGATAAGCAATTGATCAGTTATCAATCTTACTGTGCTAAACCAGATGCTGGAAATTGTCCGCCTACAGAACAAGGCTTTTGTAATGTTTCTTGCCCATTCCTAGTACTAGCATGCTCGGCTGAGCTTGATTGTACCTTTCCATTTGGAATGAGGCGACGACAACAAAGCCAAGGCAAGTTCTCTACATCCACAATCAACCGAGCCATGATGAAGCAGATTCAGTAGTCCACAAAACCCGACCGACCAGCATGGTATGCAAGCAAGCTGCATCTAAGAAAGGAGACACCACGGCACTACAACATAACAAGCAGCGAACGGAGTTTCGCAAGGCCATGCGCCGTCAACCAGGCCTCAGTGTCACGGTAGTCACTCCGGCAGCTGCTTAACAACAGATACCGCAGAGCTGCCAGCTGCGTGAAATCCTCTGGGAAACCCTGCAGCTCCCGACAATGTTTTAAAGAAAGGCTCCTCAGCCTGGTGAGGTGTGCGAAGCCAGCAGGAAGCACGGAGATGGATGTGGACGACGAATCCAAATCATGCAGGCAGGCGAGGCGCGTTATACAAGCCGGCAGCTGCTGCAGCTCTCGGCATTCCGACAGATCAAGCGTGCGCAGCCGGGACAGCGCACCAATGGTTTCAGGGAGAGTTTTCAGTCTGGGTGCGTGGATCTCCAAGGCTGTGAGTTGCCAGAGCTCCCCAATGCTGCCTGGCACCTCCTCCAGCGATGACATCTGCTCCAGCCTCAGCTGCCGCAGCTGCGGAAACGCTGCCCCAATGCTTCCAGGGAGCCTCCTGATGCCATGTCCCGAGATGGTCAGGCGGCGCAGGGAAGGGAGGAAGGTCAAGGGGAAGGGGAGCTCGACAGCAGCGTTGTCCAGGTGCAGGGCCAAGCGGTGCAGGCGAGACAGACCGCTGCTCCAACAATGACCTTCGGTGCTAAGGCTTCTCAGTGAGCTTTCACCAGGTGCGCCAACCTGCAGGTCGCTGGCAGGGCAGCTTGCTGCTCCTGGCCCTTGCCCTCCCCTACCGATATGCAGCTCCAGCTCCCTCAGCTGGGATAGCACAGACACGTCTGCCAGTGCAGTGAGCTGGTTCCCGGACCATGGAATGCTTAGGAGCTCAAGAGAGCGCGGCAGAATGGCAGGAGGGTGACTCAGCCCTTCACAGTGTGTCAGCTGCAGCTGCTTCAGCCTCTTGAGGCTATCCAGCCTTCCGGGCACCCATGAAAGCCGCGAGCAAAGAACAACTGCCAGGCGTTCCAGACGGATCAGACGAGTGATGGACTCTGGAAGGCGGCTGATGGGGCATACCAGTATGCTCAGATCTGTCAGGTTACTGAGCGCCCCCAACGCATCTGGAAGCTCAGGTGTTGCGCACTCGTGCAGTTGTAGGCTGGTCAATGCAGTCAACGCGGTGAACGAGGCTGGGAGGTGCTGCTGGCAACGGGAGCCGATGAAGCGAAGAGTGGCAAGGCTGGTGAGGTGCCCAATGTCGTCTGGAAGTGTGACATTCCGAAGGCGCTCGATGCAGAGAGCCTTGAGTGCGGGGAGGCGGCACAAACCAGGTGGAAGCTCGCGAAGCTGGTAGCAGTTGTCAAGGACTAGAGCGTTGAGGGACGTCAGTTGGGAGAGGGAACTAGGGAGGACAACAAGAGGCAGCGACTTGAGCACGAGGGTTTTGAGAGCCGGCAGATCACTCAAGCTGTCAGGAAGTCCAAACAGAAACTTTGCATCGGAAATAACCAATTCTTCCAAACGGGTCAGAGAGGGCAAGCTTTCAGGCAGTTCCGTGAAGCGATGGCAGCCACGGATGACTAGCTTGCGGAGGGAGGGGAGCAGATCTCCAATGTCGTTGGGAGGGCCTTCAAGCTCCTGGTAGTCTGTGAGAAGCAGCTGCTGCAGGCGAGCGCATGGGGTTGATCTTGGTGGAAACATTGAGTCGAATGGAGGGGTGCAATTCGTGAATCTAAGCGTTTCCAGGCAAGACAGCAGTGCGATGCTGAAAGGAGCTGCGGGCTGGTCGGTACGATGCAGAGCGAAGATAGAAAGGTGCGCGATGGGGAGGTCAAGCAGGCTGGATAGGTGCTGCAGATGGAATGCCGGGAAGGCGAGATGCAGGTTGGTGAGGGACGAAAGGCTCCTGAACCCCGGATTTTCTAGGGTTGCCGGGGTGGTGAGAGCGAGAGTGTGCAGGTGCTTGAGTTGAAAGAAGGACGGCGGGAAGTCAGCGCCGTCGCGGAGGCAGTAGAGCGAGAGCTGCTGCAGCTGAGAGCAGCGGCGGAAGAAGAGATCCATCCCGGCGTCTTTGATTGGATGCTCGTCGCTCAATCCCGGAATCCGCGGCGTTATCTTCCCTCCCACGTGGAGAATGGTCAGCTTGGGACATGACGAGGCGAGGTGAGCGAAGAACGCGTCGTCGAGGTTTTCCACGCTGAGGTCGCACAGATGGAGATGCGTGAGGCTTGGGAAGCGCGCGACGGCGACCGTTAGGTCTTGGAGGGACGCGACGAGGTTCTCTCTGAGAAGAAGCTCGGCGACGTGAGGGTGCAGATGGTGTTGCGCGACCCGCCGCCAGCGACGGCAGACAGACGCGAGGAGGAAATTGATGGGGGCAGATTCAGTTGCCAGAGGAGTCGGTACCGGTGTACTGTATTTCAATTCAAGTATGTCGCGATTTCCACGGATGTCCGTCGCCTCTAAGTCCAAGGAGCCCCACAAAGCCTCGCTGGTTTCAGGTTTGCGGAAATGAGGCTTAGTGGATCGCCGTAAAACTTTCATTAGAAGGTCGTCCGAGAGACTGTCGATGTGTGTGCGAGACTCCATAGCTGAAATGGCTAAGTAAGCAGGGAACGGTAAAATCACTAGAATATAGCTCGAAGTTCAAGTACCCGAACGTTCCAATCCAAAACTCCAGCGACTACTCATGGCTAGTCTGGCAAATGTCTAAGCTCGTCTGGGATGGGGTGGCTGGCAAAGCGAGAAACGCGAATCGCTGGCGAAGCGGTGACGAAATTGTTTGCGAGGTTTGTGGGGTAGGCGTAACTCATCCTGCTCTGCCCACCTCGTCAGGCTCCAGCTCGTTTTGGCGATCGATCCTGCGGAGGATAAAAGTTTCTGAAAGTTGTGGATGCAATACACATGAGGACGCGGCACCTGTTTTCATTTTGCCAGGATCGATCGTGGGAGGGGATCGATGTGCCGCTTATACAGTGTATTGGCGGAGAGAATTGCTCCAAACCCTTTGCTCACGTGGCCACGTGGCCACCATTTGCTCGCGTGGTTCTCAAATTCAGTGATAATTGCTCGAGTGGCCTTGCCAGGGGATTCCCACTGGTTTTTTTTAACCCTTCACATTACCCTACACGGGTTTCTATCCCCGAAACTTCTGTACTGGTTACTGCGCGATCTTCAGTATCCAAAATCTATGTTCGTGATGTGGAAAACTGAACGAGAATGAATGAACTATGAATGAAGTGAGTACAAATATGAAACCCTAATTGGGTTGTACCCCCTATGGGATACCCCACTATAGCCTACACAAATAAGTAAGCTATAATGTTCTGACACACCCCCATAGGCAAAGTGGGGGAGAACAAGGGGTCACAAGACCAGTCAAGCAAAGCAAAGCAAAGCTCAGGGTGGATCACAAAGTCACCACACATTCCGAGCGCAAGGTCAAGGGCCACAAGGCCAGTTTGCATGCAAGATCATATATAGAGATATACAAGAGTCAAGCAAGCAAGAGCAAGAGTATATATAGGTAAAGGTATAAGCAAGGTCAAGAAGTGAGCAAGTGAGGCAAGACAGGCACAAGACCCAGCTGCGTGCAGCAACGCTGATGATCACAAGGCGCAAGTGCCTTGGTGAAGACATCAGCAGTGTTGGCCTCAGAGGCCACGCACGCAAGTCGCAACTGTCCACGCTGCTGCAGCTCACGAGCAAGAAAGTAGCGGAGAGCAATGTGCTTTGTCCTGTGCTCCAGTCGCTGCTCTCGACACAAGGCCAGCATGGCCTTGTTGTCTACGTACAGGACTGGAGGAGAACGAGGCGGCTCTCCAAGGTCGGTCAGTAGGTAGGTGAGCCAGCGAAGCTCCTGAGCAGCCATAGCCCCGGCGTAGATCTCAGCCTCACAACTGGAGCCGAGAACAGAAGACGAGCGAGTAGCCCGCCACGAGACAGAGCCGGAACCAAGGCTGAAGGTGTAACCCTGTGACGACCGCTGCGTAGCCTGGTCGTCAGCCCAAGAAGCGTCCGCGTGCCCAGTGAGGACCACTGGACTGCGCCCTCCAAGCACTAGCCCCATGCCCGACGTACTGCACAAGTAGCGCAACACCCTCTTCGCTGCAGCCATGTGCTCTGGTCGGTGTCTCCCAGGAGCAACATAGCGTGCGAGAATGCTGAGAGGGTATGCAAGGTCAGGTCGTGTGCAGGTCATCAGGTACATGAGGCAGCCAACAAGCTCTCCATACGGGCCACTCGACTCTACGGACTCATCCGAA